ATTTGCCTCTACGCACACATGCATATATATAATATGCCAACAAAGGCAAATGAACGATGGAGTACAATAATTACACTTTAATGATATGATTATGTCTAGCAGCTCACAAACCGTTCTAATAAGAGGTCATAGTTGTTGTTTGGAAACTGCCCATTAAGCTTTCAATGAAAATTAAATTATAACATTGTAAAACCATAAAGAGATGTAACGTTAAAAAATGAAGAGAAGCTATGCACTAATAGCTACGTGGACTATAAATTAATTGGATAAAATTTAAAGATAAATATGAATATAAGAAGTAAAATATTAATTCAATTGAAATACTCTCAATATTTCCAACAATCCCCCACATATTTATGTTGGATTAAAGGAATGAGACTTTATGTTTGGTGTCCGTAGACTATGAACCAAACCGAGACGATTAAGCCTTAATAAACCGAGCGTTTGGTGAAACAGGTAATTTCTGGAACCAACAAGCTACTATTCGTTAAATCGGGTGAAATTGATGAAGTTTTAGTTGAAGCAACTAAATATGCTCAATTATGAAAAAAAACATATTTAGAAATTAGAATATATTTTTCAACTTAAACATAACTCTCACCGTACTCATTTGGATTATTACACAGTTTAGAGCACGAAATAGAAAGTTTTGTGTTTAAAAGTTGATAAACCATGTTTGGACAGATGGAATATGTATATATATTGTGTATATATTTCCTTTTTCGTTCGTTCATAAATAATTTTCTCTTTTCCACATAATTTGTGGTTCATAGCATTTCCTAAATATTTTTACACATTTCTCTCTCCCATGCACAACTCCCCACTACACAATTCTCACTTTCTTAATCCCATTCAAAATATCATTTGGAAGATATTTTTGGGATGGAGGGAGCATGCATTAAGAAATTACTCCATATAAGACTAAAGTTTTATTCTTACATTTTATATAAAAGATAGATAAAGTGCATAAATAAAATTAGCAATGTTTTATTCCCAAAATATAATTTATTAAATCCTATGTTAAGAGCGCGCACACACGATCTCGTCTAAAGTCGAGAACGAGACAAAGGAATAGAATTCAAGTGAAGAGATGAATAAATTTTTTGATCTATAATGATCAGAGAGTGAATGAAAATAAAATATTTTATTGGGATTCATTCGGTGTCCGGCCTTGTCATGACACAATAATAAATTCTACAAAAAAATCCCCTTACATCAACTGAGGACCGCTATATATAGGTCATATAAGAGTCCTAAAAGAGAATAAAGGAAACTTACTAAAACTGAATTAAAAACTTGCTAAAATTGAATTTGGAAACTTGATAAAACTGAATTAGGAATCTTGCTAAAACTGTATTGAAAGCAGTAAAGTAAATAAAGAAACTTGCTCCCAAATTCAGCCACTTTTAGGGGCTTCATTTGGCTGAATTCCTTCGAACTGAGCACCCCTTCGACCGACCTTGTACCTTTGATATTTTTTACCCAAATAGTAGTGCTTGATGAAAATTCGATAATTGTAGCATCCACGTTGTTGAGAGGCAAAGTTTTAACCGGTGTAAGGCTTCTGTTACACTTTCTATCTAAACAAAGGAATTCTTCTTAAATAGTTGTGTCAAAGGTCCTGCAATCTCTCCGTATTGTTGATTAAATCTGCGGTAGTAACCAGAAAGGCCTAAAAACTTGCGTAAAGCAGTTATTGAGCCATGAGTGGGCCAATCCATTACTGCATGGATCTTAGTTTTATCAACCTTAACCCCTCTACTATGGATAACATGCCTTAGGTAATGAACCTGGACAACTTTGAAATTACACTTGGACTGCTTGAGAAGCAAACCATTATGATGTAGCACATCTAGGACGAGACGAACATGGTGAACATGTATTGTCCAAGATTGTTGTAAATTAAACTAAGGCGTCATCGAAAAAAATTAAAACTAACATTCCGTAAATACGGCCTGCAAATATCATTCATCGGACTTTGGAATGTGAACGGCGTATTTGTAAAACCAAATGAGTTCGAAAAGCTCTTTTATGAACGTCTCAAGAGCCATGCGAATTTGGTGATACCCGGAGCGGAGGTCCAACTTTGTGAAGAATTTGGCCCCAAGCAGTTCATCTAACAATTCATCAATGACTGGGATGGAGAATTTTTCTTTCACAATTTCAGAGTTGAGCTCTCTGTAATCAATGCAAAAGCACCAAGAGGCATCATGTTTTTTTAACTAGCAACCTAGGGGATGAGAAGGGTGAATGACTTGACTAAATTATTCCTTTCTCCAACATCTCAGAACACATTGGCACTCAATCTAGAAATAGGGGTAGCGATAGCCGATAAGGCCTGACAAATACTGGTCCAGCTCTCGGACGAAGAGGTATGTAGTTATGGCATGTGAGTTTAGGAGGTACGCCAAATGGAAGAGAGAACAAATCCGCATAATGGGACGATAAGCCATTGAGAGTGTTGTCTGCGTTCTGAGGGTTTGTTAGCAAGTGCACTTGCAGTGTTAGGTTGCTTCCTATCTGTGCCACTCAATTGCACGTTCTTGTCAGATGAACCTCATGGTCCTCATGGAAAGATGAGAAAGATCCCAAAGAAAGGAACTCAAACCTCAGAGCCAAATTGACTCAGCCAATGAATGCCAACAATCATATCAAACCCGACAAGGGGTAGCACACAGAAATCAGCCACGATTTCTTGTCCATTGACGCTAAAAGTCAATCGCGGGCAAGACCCAAATATAAGACACGATCTCTGTTTGCAACGAGAGCCTGTAATCGAGACTCATGTGACAATGGTGAAGTTACAGAGGAGATCAAACGCTGGTGTATAAAATTGTGAGGCTTCCCGAGTCAACCGAAATTGTAATTGGTCGGTCCTGAAAGCTGGCACGTAGTTGCATAGTAAAGGAGGACCCTAACCCGGTCATGGCAAGCAACGATAAATTAAAGAGGCATTACTGTTAACAATTTCTAACTCGACCGAGTTGGTCATCTACAACAATCTCTATGAAGCAAGGCGTTACTGTTAACAATTTCAGACTCGACCGAGTTGGTCATGTACAACAATCTCCATGAAGCAAAACTTGGTAAAACTGAATTAGGAAATTAGCTAAAACTGAATTAGAAGCAATAAAGTAAAGAGTTAATTCCCTAAATAGGTCAAAAAAGTGACCCAAGAGAACAAATAGGACTACATGTTTTTTATTCCCCCTAGTAGGACTATTTATGTGAATTTGGACAAATATACCCTTGAGGCATTTTGAAATGTCTTAATTAATCATAAAATCATAAAATAATAATAAAAAACATAAAAAATAATAATAAATAACGTCAAGAATTATAAAAAAATATATAAATATTCATAAAAAAAATTTATAACAAAATAAAAAATTAATTAAAAATTTTAAAAATGCAAAAAAAAAAAAAAAACGCCGCTGCCTCTGCCACCACCAGCTCCCATCACCGGTTGGAAATCTGCCAACATTTGTAGTAATGCCGTAATAATGACAGATTCAATGATAATTTTGGCATTATGATGAGTAATAATGTCATTTTCTTGGCATTTTCAGAAAATAATGGCATTTTTACAAATAATGGAAGAATTTTCACCAATCAGAGTTATCCATATTTTATATTTTTTATGGCATTTTACTATTTTTTTATTAATTTGTTAAAAAAAAACAAAAAAAAACTCTACCAACATTTGTAGTAATGCCATAATAATGGCAGATTCAATGAGAATTTGATAGTATGAAGAGTAATTATGCCATTTGTTTTGGCATTTTTCGGGAAAAAATGGATTTTTTTATAAAAAGTGCAGAATTTTTACCGATTGAAGGTAGTGCTGCTGGCAGGCGGTGGGAAAGGTATCAATATTTTTTTAAATTGTCTTATCTATTTTTACTATTTTTTATTAATTTTTTTAAAAAAAATTAAAAAATTATTTTTTTAGTTTTTATTTTAATATTATTTTTATTATTTGTTTACGATTTTTTTACTATTTTTTAAGATTTTATTATGAATTATAACATTTTATTATGAAATAATACCCTTAGAGGCATTTCTGGTAGGAATGAATTGTTTAGTCCTAATTTGGATGGTAAAAAATGTAGTGATCCTATTTGTGAATTTTTAGTTATTTTTAGTCTTACATAGAGCAATTACTATAAAGTAAAGGGAAAGTTCCCGAAATAGGACTAAAACATTTTGTAAATTCCAAAATAGGACTGCTATGTTTTTTATTCCCAAAATAGGAGTAATTATTGCCAAGTTTGGAAAATATTGTCATGTTTGAAGTCTGGTACTGCCAAAACATGACAGTAATTAGTCCTATTTTGGGAATAAAAATATGGCAATCCTATTTTGGAATTTTCAAACCTTTTTAGTTCTATTTCGGGTAATAAAGAAACTTGCTCTCAAAATTAGACACTTTATGTGGCTTCATTGGACTAAATTCCTTCGGACAAGCACCCCTTGGCCCACCTTACGCCTTTGATATGTTTTTACCCCAAAAATTGTCCATAACATCGTATTAAAGTTTAAAACTTTCGTAATTCCACTTGTGTCATTTCACAACGTTTTAGTGTTTTATTACGTACTTCACTACTTCGTCCTCGCTTCTCTAAGATTGTCCCACTTTTTTTCCGCGAAGTCCCACTAACATTGACCCTAAATCATTCTTATTTTATACATATTTTATTAATTTAATATCAATCACATAAACTCACTTTTCTTAATAATATGTGTATGTGCCAATGTTAGTGAACGACGAGTAATAGTGGAACGAAGGTACTGCTGTTTAAAGAACTTTCTTGTAATAAGAATTTGGTTCGAAAAAAACGTGTGACTGGTTCGATGAGTGGAAAGATCGAGAGGGAAAAGACACCATAATGATGATTCTTGCGGGCCTCCTGCTTTTCCGTCCGGGGCCCCAGCTTTATATTCCGGACCTACGCCTTATTACCATGCTGGTAACTTGCTTTTAATTACCAGTGGAAATCCGGGCATCCATTTTCTCTTCTATATATACTAACCAGCCTCTGCCTCTCTGCCTCTACATCACCTGCTTTCATTACTGTATATTCTTCTCATTTCCTTCTCCAATTAATATAGCTAGCATTCTCATCTGAAAATGACTGACATCCAGCAAGTGGTTGTTCCAGTTCCGAAATCCGATGTAGCCGCCATGGAAAGTGCAGCCTTGCCGGCCGGACCACCGTTTAAGGTGGCAATCCCCACTGCGGCATTGTTCGAATCCACGTCCGAAGAATCTTCGCCCACATCCTGCCGGTCCCATGATCTAAGCAATTCTTGGATTGTTAGTGTTTTCATGTGAAACCAGATACTCCTTATACAAACAATATACTCCTGCATAATTTTGATATTCATATATATGTGCTCCTCCTTTACAACTTTGTCATTTTTTGTTTTTTCACAATGGTGGTAAAGTTTAAATCATGTTTTTTATTAGTGTAATATTATGAAAGTTATAAGTTATGTACTTTTAACATAGAATATTTTGATATAATTTTTGTATTATAATTTTTTTTTAATATAAAAATACTTCTGTTTTTTAAAAGTTGCAGCATTATGATTTTTGCACTATTCACACCCTTTATTATTACCACGATTTTCTACTACGTAATATTTATAAGGATTATTAGCTAAATATATCCTCAACTAGCACCAAATTCACAAATCTATCACATACTTTTACTTTTATTAAAAAAGACTCAAACTTCAATTCTTCTCACAAATCCTTACACTTTTAATAGATGAATTAGTAAAACTTAAGAACAAAATCATATTTATATTTCATATTTTTCACTTCTTTCTAGTTTTAAGTTTACAAACTTGTACTAGTATTACTTATATCTTATTAGTATTGATAAAAATTATAATTTTGAAAAAAAAAAACAATAATTGCTGACAAAGGTGAAGTTTGAGTCATTTTTTGATAAAAGTGAAAGAATAGGATATATTTGTAAATTTGATGATAGTTTGGGATAAAATAAGCTAATAATCCTATTTATAATTAAATTATTATGTATAAAATGTTACTATGTATTCAATTTATGTTTATGTTAATTTACAAAATATTAACTTTTTATTATTTTTACTAATACGTACTCTGTAATTAAATATAATTACAGTCAAAGTTGTGCATTGATCACAAACATAAAAGTCAAACTGTAGCAACTACTAAAAAATGGATGATAGTATATAATTGGTCAAAATTGAACATAATTGACTAAAAATTTCAAAGATGGCAAAATTCTAAGGGAATATAATATAAGTAAAACTAGACACAATACACAACTAACCAACAACATATACTGAGTATATACTGCGTAATAAATAATGACATATTTATAACTAAATTAAAGACGTCTAAGGAAAATGTGACATATAATAACAGCAACTTTTAGTGGCTATTTTTTTTAATGAAGTGATTGTGACGTAATATTATAGTAACTGTATTCGTATTTTTATCATTAAGTTTAACATTCAATTAAAAACATAGCTAGCCATAGAAAGGGTGTGTGAGAGATAATATGGAGTATATAATTAATACGAAGTAATCATAATAATAATAATAATAATTGTAAATTATTCCACACCCTATTTTTCTTTGAATTTATTTATTTTTGTGGTAAAATGAAAACCTTTTCCGTATATAAATGTACAGTTGAGTCATCCTTCTGCTCTTAGCAATTTTGACGAAATAGTGAGATCTTCGAAAGGAATGAAGATAGCTATGTTTCTGGATTATGATGGTACACTTTCCACCATTGTTGAAGACCCTGACTTAGCTTACATGACTAATGAGGTTAATTACTGGCTCGATCTTAGCTGTCGTTATTGATTTTGTTCTTATTATATTTTGTTTTTCTTTTTCTTTATTAAATTAGCTAACGTACAAAAGAAAATACTACGTATGTTTTTTGAAATATATGTATTTAGATGAGAGAAGCTCTGAGGAACATTGCAATGCATTTCCCCACAGCTATAGTGAGTGGAAGGTGCACGGAAAAGGTGATAATCTAGTACTTAATTTGTGTTGCCCTTTAAACAAAATTGTATCTTGCATGTTTAATTTGAAGTGGTTGGATCAAAGAATATTAATTTTTATCATTAACAACATTTTCAGGTATACGATTTTGTGCAACTATCTCAACTTTACTACGCTGGAAGCCATGGAATGGACATCGAGGGTCCAGGAGAAGGAAATACGCAGGTAGAAATAATATAATACTCCACATTCCCCTATCAAACTTGACCAAATTAATTTTTTTTAATCATTGCTATTAAATTTTAAATAATGACTTTGATTATTATATGACGTATATGTATATTTGTATCAAATTTATAAAGTTTATACTTTTATGCAGGTATTTTATATGTCTATATAGTCTTCATATTTTATTTAATTTCATATTAAAAGATATCATTGGTTAAACTTGATCATCATTTAACAAGAAAAGTCAATATGATCAATACATATTACATTAATTGGGTATATGTTTAAGCAAAATATTGATAAGCTAAAACTAATTAAAAAGAAATTTGTATAAAGAAAGGGCTTCGAACAAGAATAGAGAAGGAGATGACAAGAGAGTGAATAAGAATGAAGACTTGTGTGTTATTCGAATGTTTTAGCTGCCTTGATTACAATGAGGCTATTCTATTTATAGGAAAAGCAATTAAAGCTCTAATGATGGTTTTTTCCGTTATTGACGGATTGGCCATCCGTTACGTACTGACGGATTCAAATCCGTCATAAAGGCTGGTCAAACACATTTAATACCCTCCTTAATCACATTAAGGAGCATAATAATGTACAAAAAACGTTACAATATTTAAAAATGATATTCTTGACGCTTCAATGACTCAATTTGTCTGTTTTGGCAGTTTGACGTAACGGTTCCGACCCGTCGTCGGTTTCGCAACTCGTCATCAATGCTGGCCAGCTCAAAATAAGTAACCTCCAGCCTTAATATCGTTGATAACTCCAGTAATAAACACAAATCCGTTACAACAGCCATCATTAAGCCTCTTTAACTTTTGTGATCAACTCTCTCTTTAATGCAAAATATATTGCCAAATAATTGCACTAACAGTATATGTTTAGGTATTTCATCATCACAAAATTGTCAAAGATGTAATTGGACTAATTTAAATTTGTAGTACTAAGTATGTGCTTATAAATAATAATAATAATTATTATTATTATCATTATAACATTAATAACAGTAAAAAGATACTGGGAAGTCAAAGTGGAAACTTTATTCTTTGATTCTCGAAGGAAGTTAATTATAAGGAATGACTTTAGAAATAATTGGATTTGCAGGCTGTTCTCCACCAACCAGCCATAGAATTTGTGCCCCTGATTGAAGAGGTTGGTTGCTTTTCTAGCTACCTTGTCACTCGTGAGTAAGCGTATGTCGTACTGAATTGTTGTGACTGTATTATTCCTCAATAATATAAATATAAAGGGATAAGGGTCAGATAGGGTCTCGAACTTGAAAAAAAATGTCAAATAAGGCCATATTTAGGATGCTGTGTCCGGATGACGCCATTTGGGGCGGTTCCCGGTGAAATTTTTTGATAAAATTTTTTGAGAATCTTATTCATTAAGTCTAGTTTAGTCATATCGAATTTGAACTAACAATTCAATCGGGAAGGCATTCAAATGAATTCTTGAAGATAACTGCGCTTTTAACTGCACAGTTATCTTCAAGAATTCATTTGAATGCCTTCACGATTCAAGTTTTAGTTCAAATTTGATGTGAGTAAACTAGACTTAATGAATAAGATTCTCAAAAATTTTCATCAAAAAATTCCACCGGGAACCACCCCAAATGGCGTCGGCCGGACAGAGCATCCTAAATATGGCCTTATTTGACATTTTTTTTCAAGTTCGAGGCCCTATCTGACCCTTATCCCAAATATAAATGGTAAAAGCTGAAACCTTGTCATCGGTTCCTATAAGTTAATTATACTAGTATAACCCATTTCCTAGCTAGCTTTCCATTTTAAACACACTCACATACATATATTATTATATAAATATATAAATAAAATCCTCACTTTCAGGTATATAAAGTATTACTGGACAAAACCAAATGTATCCCAGGAGCTAGAGTAGAAAAGAAAAAGTTTTGCTTGTCCGTGCACTATCGTTGTGTTGAGAAAAAGGTACAAAATTTAACTCTATATGAGTATATATATGCACTCCCATTTGTTTTTAGTTTAGTGTACGTACAGGTGCATAAACTAAATATCCTCCGTATATAAGAATTAATTATTTTTAACATTTTGCCATCAGAAACGGAGTGAACTTCGTGACCTAGTAAGAGCTGTGACCAATGACTACCCAAAGCTTGGATTATATGGAGGGAGTAAGGTACAACATAATAATTACTAGTACATTCTAACATATTGTTCCCCCTTCTCTCTTTAGAATGTGTTGACCTTTCACACCAAATGAAGCAATCACAAAAGTCTTTTTAGGATGAAATTTCAAGTCTTAACATGAAAGTATTAGATTGATTTGACGTGTCATTCTTTTTGTATGTATACGCTGTATATATTGCAGGTTATAGAGATTCGCCCCACCATTGATTGGGACAAGGGAAGGGCATTGGTGTTTTTGTTGGAAGCATTGGGTTTTACAGATTGTGCTAACGTTTTCCCAATTTACATTGGCGATGATCTGACGGATGAGGATGCTTTTAAAGTACGCACTCTTAAATACATGCAAGATACATTTTATATATACTAGTACTAAAAAATATTCTTTATCTTTATACTTTAAAATTTAAAGGGATAAGGGTCAGATAGGGCATCGAACTTGGAAAAAATGTCAAATAAGGCCATATTTAGGATGTTATGTCCGGCTGACGCCATTTGGGGCGGTTTCCAGTGGTTTTTTTTGATGAATTTTTTTGAATATCTTATTCATTAAGTCTAGTTTATTCATATCAAATTTGAAGTAACAATTCAATCGGGAAGGCATTCAAATGAATTCTTGAAGATAACTGCGCTTTTTACTGCACAATTATCTTCGAGAATTCATTTGAATGTCTTCCCGATTGAAGTTTTAATTCAAATTTGATATGAGTAAACTAGACTTAATGAATAAGATTCTCAAAAAAATTCATCAAAAAAATCCACCAGGAACCGCTCCAAATGGCGCCGGCCGGACAGAGCATCCTAAATATGGCCTTATTTGACATTTTTTTTTCAAGTTCGAGACCCTATCTGACCCTTATCCCAAATTTAAATCATTGTGCTTGTCTTGTGCAGTTATTGTGCATGTTTTGGGCATGTATACATTGCAAGCAAAATACATGCAAGCGATGAGCTGAGCTTATGTAGTCAATATAATGAGCCTAGAATAAAAAATAGATAAAGTGCAACTATTGTGCTTCATTTTTATGTTACGACTGAATCATTAAAGTAGTAATGTGGGAATTTGTATATATTTATCACAATTCTCAAGAATAATTTAAATGAAAACTATAAATATAAATGCTTTTTATCACATGTCTAAAACCAATCTTAAGAAAACAGACGATTATTAGACTTGACATTCTTAAATGGGATTTACTAGGTTTTGCGAGAAAGAGGACAGGGCATTGGAATCTTAGTCTCCGAATCTCCCAAAGAAACCAATGCTTCGTATTCTCTGAAGGACCCACTTGAGGTAATTACTTAATCTAATTGATCAGTTAAACACAAAAAGATTACAGATCTCTTGAGTTGGATCTTTAAGTAATCAGTTATTAAATTACATCCACATACATCCCAAATTAGACATTAATTATTGTATTAGTTTGGTCATATATTGATTCTTAATTGGGATAATTATATTACTTGATGTGGCAGGTTATGGACTTTCTCAAACGCTTGGTAGTAGAAAACAATCAAGACGATCCTCAATAAGACAATGAATTAAGGGAATGAGTGTCCTTAAATTGCTAGCAAGCTAATCCTAATATAATGATCTAATATCTGGGAGGACCACAACTGGACTTTATATAGTAATAACTGGCCTGGCCTACTAAGTGGTCGGTAGGGAGGTCGATCGAAGCGCATGCTGATGCAAAAATTCACACAACTTTACATATCAGATGCATATGTACTGTAATCTTTTTGTTGATTGATTGCAATTAGTGTTAAACCATATCACACTGCTCAAATATGAATGAAATTGCGATTGATCAAGCTAACTCAATGATACGATCATCCCTTCTTTAAAAGTTGCAAGAGACTTTCACATTGATCAATGATACGTATGAGTATAATTTTAAAGGGGAAAAGATGAGAATAAGACTAATACATAAGCACGGAACTTAAACAGGACTCAACACCTTTTTACTCTTAAATAGGACTACTTTCATGTTAAGAGACAAAAATGCCCCTACCTTGAAAGAAACTTGCTGGAGAAGAAAAATAGTTACGCCTTCAAATAAACCACCGACTGTCACCCTAAATCACGCCGCCCACCGTTGCCGGACCTCCGCCTCTTGCCGCCGTCAGACTTCCGCCGCCTGCCGGACCTCCGTCGACCTCCGTTGACCTCCGCCGCCAGACCTCCACCGCCTGCCGGATCTCAGTAAAAAAAGACATTACATAAACAAGTAGAATACCATTCAACAAAACAAGGAAATAGACTGAAAAGAACCACTGAACCAGGCGTATAGTATATTAAAAACAATAAAAAATCAATAAATTCCAAAAAAAGCACATCATGTATGCCGGGAAAGGAGCGGCCAGCGTTTCCTAGATCTACCCAAGAGAAACAATTTCTAGATCTGTCCAAGAAAAGAAGAAGAGAAAAGGTAGAAGAAGAAGAAGGGGAAGAAGAAGAGAAGTACAAGAAGAAAAGAGGAGGAGGAGGAGGAGGAGGAGGAGGAGGAGGAGGAGGAGGAGGAGGAGGAGGAGGAGGAGGAGGAGGAGGAGAAGAAGAAGAAGAAGAAGAAGAAGAAGAAGAAGAAGAAGAAGAAGAAGAAGAACGCACCAGGACATCCCACCACAGCCGTCGCGCCTTTGCGTTTAATGTGTTGAGCCGCCGGCGCACCACGCTGCCGTATCGCCGTAATCTGTCTCACCACATCTACAACACCAGTACGCCAGTACAGATCAAATCCTTTGTTATGGTGTTGGACCTTGAAGCTGCTAGCTTGTCATGGCTATGGGGGAAGAAGCGAGAGAGAGTGTTTGGCGAGATTGTGGACAAGAGAAAAGGAATCTCGTGGAGCAAACATTAGGAAATAGGGATAATTTTGGAATAAAGTAAAACTCCTATTTACGAGTTAAAAAAGACGGAGTCTTATTTTAAGTATATACGGACTTTTTAGGTCTACTTAGGACAATTTCTCATTTTTAAAAAAGTTCATATTTTGGAAGTTTAATAACATTTTATACATAATAATTTGATTATATATATTATTAGAAAATCGTAGTCAAAGTAAGGTGTGTGAATAGTGCAAAAACCTCAGTGTTGCAACTTTTAAACAACGGATGAAGTACATGGATTGTATTATCTTTATTTTTATTACTAATTCTCATCTCAATCAAATTATATGTACCAGAAAATATTAATGAGATAATTATATCAGAAATATAAGATAAGATATGAAAAAAGAAATTGCCCTAATTAGGAGTAAAAACATTCAAGAATATCAAAATATGATTTTCATGTTTTTATTCTCAAAATATACAGTGTAATATTTTATTCGATCATAATTTTATGCTCATATCATTATCATGTTATTGTGATGTTTTAAAACAAATTACAGGAATAAAAATTATTTAGAAAAATATGACTAAAGTTACAATGAGTATAGAGTGTCATGACCACTTAAGTGAAAAATTTGAACATAAGTTACTATAACTGAAGTTATTACTGTATAGTCGTAAATATGTAATTAATTCTAACAATATTATTAGGTCATTAATATTTATAATTATTTAAATCATTTTATTATTATTATTATTATTATTATTATTATTATTATTATGGTGATAGTAAAATTAAATCTTGAATAAAGTTCTTTCTTCCTAGCATATGTTGGTTGGTTGATAGCGAATTACCACTTTTGCAACAAGTAGAAGGTGAAGCAAAAGATATAGAAAAATAAAACGGATGGAGGGGGTGGGGTCATTTGTATTTTGGCATTATTATGTGGCAGTACCAAGAGAAGGATACTTTAATGCCAATCCATTGTATAAACTGGGTACTGCCAAAATGTGCCCAACTCAGGATCTAAAATTTGTTCACGTTTAGAGAATGGACTCAACACGTGATTTATTTGCCCATCAATTTCTTCAAATATTTACACATTGGACATCTTAATGCACTCTTTATACAATGGATTGGCATTGAAGTACCCTTCTCTTGGTACTGCCCAACTAAAAACGCGGTCATACTCTTAATTTAAAACCCACATATTGACATATGCGGAACATAAGAAAAAGAAGACAACTTCTATTATTCAGTTTTCTCTCTCCATGCTTTTTTTTTGAAGGAAAATGACTTACATTATAATATATCGGAATCCAAATAGCCAAATAGGTAACATCAAGCTAGATCAGAAACTAGAGACTAGTAAAAACCATTAGAAAACATAGTTCGATCATGCACAATTGAAACAGAGTAACAGACTTAAAGTATGTTGGTTCAAAATAGGACGCTTGTAAGCTTTTAGGAAAGCTATCTACGTGATGTTGATGATCAAAGATGATAATGATTTGGAAAAATAGCTTGGTTTTGTGTTTATATATCTACAAGATTTAATAATATTTAGCGCATATATAATGATCCACTTTAATTCTTGCCTTATTAACTATAGGGATAGTTATAGTGAACATTCATCCTAAAATGAGAATTTCTTATAATTAGAACTTTTTAAAATTTCATTTAATACATGTAATTATTGGTTAATATTCACATAGAGTCACATTCATAATTATCCTAAATTTAAATGAAGGTTTTGTGCAATTAGTCCTAAATAATTACAAAAATGGCACCTTCTCAATAGAAGTCAATAATCGTAAAAATGAACAGTGTGGAATATAATTTCTTGTGTGCATGTACATGATGTACATGCACCATCAGGTGTGAAGATAAAGAACATTTTAATGCATAGAAAATGTATAGTATCTTCAACTTAGGAGTTTGTAAAACCCAACGGTAAAGCAGAAGGCTCGAATGGAAAAGCTAGAGACGATATAGCGGGAGACCCATACACCTAAGCAAGGGCCCAAATTGAAAATAATAATCTCAATTATTGCTTGTCCTCTATTAATAATCTTAATTATCGATTATTCCTGTGTGGCTCCAACTATAAGGACCATTTTCCAAAAGTAGTCCCTAACCTGCTACAACCTGGTATAACAGGTCAAATTTAAATGCGAACTATGCGCAAACTACAAATAATCTCAACTATGATTGATCTTCTTTTATTAATCCCAATTATCAACTCTCAATTTTAGAAAAATATAAAATATATTCTTATAAAAGATCTATGAAAATTCTTCAAATGTACCGAAGTAAAATATAAAATATTGTTAGTCATTTTTTTATTATTTTCACTAAAGTTCTTTTTTATTTCTTTTTTCTAATTTATTTTTCTCAGTTGTGTTAACAAGTTATGATTTGGTATTATTCCCCTTTATTCAATTTTACATTTTATGTTTTCAAAATGTAAGACGTGACCAAAACTTTTATGATTGCAAGCTTTATTCTAGTTTTTTTCATGAAAATATAATTTTTTTGATTTTTATGCTATGTTAATTCTAAAAATCTAAATTATCCATTTTATCCATTTTAGAATTTGTAATTCCTTTCTATTTTCGTTATTTTATATTATTATATTCTATAATTTATACAATAGAGTTTATCGTTCAACTTTAGTGATTTGGGGCATAGATTTGGGGGTTTTGTCTATTTTAAATGAAAATATATTAATATTTTAATTTTACATAATATAATGAAAATTTATAAAATGTAGAAAATACTAAAATTGAAAAAATAGAGAATTTTGATTTTTACAATTAAGATAGCATAAAAATTTAATAAAATTGATTTTTATAAAAAAATATAGAATAAAGATTTAAATCATAATTTTTTAAATCACAATATACTTTTTGAAGAGTTTTTTCCCGAAATAATGCTAATTAAATAAATAATTCCCAATATACTGCTGAGTTAAAAATAATTCCCAAAATACTTTACGGGTTAACCGTGGTTAAGGAAAGCCGCCACTTAAAGAGGCGGCTCTTCTCTTACAGTACAAAAGCCGCCACTCCAAGTGGCGGCTCTTCTCTTACAACACATTTTGTACATATATAAAATGTAGTATGGTTCAACAATTTTTTTTAACTATCTTCCCGATTGAATTTTGAGCTGAAATTTGATATGAATAAACTAGACTTGATGAGGAACATGCTCAAAAAAATTCATCAAAAAAATTCAGCGGGAACACCCTCTGATGGTGTTGTCCGCACAGGGGTTCCGGTCAAGATGTCGTGACAGGAATGGGACATTTTTAAGATAAAATTTTAAGTTGCTTCTGAGTCGAATTTTAAGATAAAATTTGGTGATCGTGTTCTTCCTAAAGTGGAGGTTATGCTCACCGAATTTCAGATTAAAATTAAATCAAGAAGTTACTTAAATAATTTATTGAGAAAAAAAACATTTTTAGACCTAAAAAATTATACGATTTTTAAAAATTTATTTAACTAACTTCCCGATTGAATTTTAATATAAAATTTGGTGGACATAATCTACATTCCACAGGAACATGCTCACCAAATTTCATGAAAAAAATTCGACCCGGAAATAGCTCAAATGAAATAGGCCTAAAATTGCAACTCTTAGGCCTACCTTACATGAACATTTTCAGAAGGCACATGACAAATTTTTTGCCACGAAAATTTTACAAATTATGCAACTAGATCATTTGGTATATTATTTCCCGGAAGCAATGTTTTATAATTTCTTATTGTTTCATATTTGTTGAAAATTTATCCATAAGTCATCATATTTTAGTTGCATGTGTTATACTCCATCCGTCCCGCTAAGAT